AGCACGGCTTCATGTAGCAGTTAAAACCAAGGTGAACAATTGGCACCCAAGTTGATTTCTCAAAGCAAGCAGGTTCTGAAAGCTTGGGGAAAAGATTATTTTGACCAGTTCAACTCAACACAGGTAGGGAAACTTATCTTTTTTTTTTTTTTTTTTAAGGCAGGACCTCAGAGTTAACCAAGACCTGTATATACCACAAAGACCTTTACGGCTACCCTGGAATGAATATCCACAATGGAGAATCAGCTTGTATAAGAGAACGTATCAGTGAAGCTTAAATTTACAGCGCCCCACAGTAAGGCACTATAAAGAACCGTATCCTCCTCAACCTCGCAGAACTAAACTGGTTTTTGCACACCTGACAATGTTAGTGCAGTTTTCACCCTCTCCAGAAACACGCACGTACACACACCGACAATTACATTGAAAAGCCTGAATAAAATCCAGGCCTCAAAGCTTGACTTTCCTTGGTAAACAAGGAAGTCAATCACAATAATGAACGCTGTAAGTTTGAACGCAACCACTTCTTTTAGGAGAAGATTCTAAAAGCCAGAAGAAAGCAGTCACAGTTTTCCGTGAGTAGCCGGGAGTGCAGCAGCTCATAGCTGCTTTGACTTCTTCCTGCGGGAAAACATCAGAACAGTTTCTTACGCTTTTACGCTGGTGCCCAAGTGCGATTAAATTCAGAATCCGCTTTTAAGCACATTCAAAATTTACGTTTTTCTTCCCTTCGTGCAAATGGCACGACAGGTAGTTTTATCGATTGTTTACCATGTATTCTATGTGTTTTGGAGAAAAAAGACTGAGATCTAAGCCTGCACAACGAATCTCAACTACACCACCTCTGCTCTCATTCGAAGAAAAGGTTAAAATGGAAGACGGCCCCCTGCCTACAGGCATTTCTAAACAATGGGCTGATTTTTCTGCCACCAATTATTGCCCTGGATAAGTATCAAGTATGTAGAATTATAATTTAACATACATTACTCCTCAGCTTATGGGGCTACTGACCTGTTGGAAGCTCAGCAGAGCTACTGGCTGATGCTCTAGCTTCCCCTCGCAGACAGCTGCCTGGTCATTTCTGGTCCCCCTCATCACAACCAAACTGCAAGCCCCTTCGCGGCACAATGTAACATTAACGTGTGGAGAAAGAGAAAAGTATCCATCACAGAATGTATTTCCCGGCTGCTTAATTCCACACAGCCACAGTGTTTTAGAAAGTAACACCAGAAGTAGGGTAACCAGTGCCGCCCACAGTTTAGAAGTCAAAAGAAACCATGGGGTCTGTTAGAATTTTATTAAACCAGGTTGACACTCGGTCTAACGTCAGGTGAAAAATTTGCGGCCACAAAAAAAGAGAACTCAAGAGCAAACAAAATTCATGAGGTGTACTAACTGACATTTCAGCAAGATCCACGTTAAAGTACTGCAAACTCAAACAACTTTGACATTTAAAAGCCCACAATTACCATTATAATTCATTACTGTTACTAGAACGTGTAATATTGCAGCTCGTCGACAAATGCACATCACAGGGCATGACTAAAGAAGCTACAAGGTCAGGGTGATTTTTCTTCAGCTCCCGTGTCCCAGGTAGGCCACTCCAGAATGTTTCCAAATGGCAATGACTTTGTTAGCTACTTTAAGACTTCAATACAGGCCTATTACGAAAAAAAAAAAAAAAAGCCCCCTTGCTCAGACAGAAGCAGGTATGGCTTTAGTAGAACCAAAATACCGTTTCCCGTACCCAGCCTCCTGGAATAACAGACACACATGGGTTCAGCCTGACGCACCCGTAGCTGCCCCTGCGGACTGCAGATGGCCAAGCCAAACCCACCTTTGCATCCCGCTGCGGTGACTGTTGATCCAAGATTCAAAAATCTGACAGACTGCAGGCGCTGCAGTCCTCTCACAGTAATAAACACCTAAGCGGAGAACTGCCTTAATGCGCCAAAAAGACCCGTAAAAGGAGTAAACGATACTTTGGATAACCGCCACTTAAACGTTAAGGCCACTTGCAGGTAAAATATACACCGACTTCTGTGCTTACACTACATCCCAGAAGGAGCAGATAAGCTCATTAGCGCGCTGCAGGAAGGGATAAAAGCGAAGACCGAGGCTGCTCGGTGCTGGAGCAGCTCCAGAGCCCCGAAGCCACCGTCGAAGCCCTCCCGGCGTCCCCGGAGCCCGGGGTTACCCCACGGCCCCGCGACTCCGGCTGGAAGCGGC